TATGGGGTTCCATAATTTGGGATTTTAGGCAGGGTTTTTTTTTTTTTTTTTTTTTTTTTTTTTTTTTTTTTGTTAAATGGAGATTTTATTAAACAACCAACACAACTTACAAGCAAAACAAAGGCCTAAGAAACACCTATAAACAAACAAAAAAGGGCCTACGACTAAAAACAAATAGAGAGAAAGCCCAACAAAACAGTAAGGCCTTGAAAACTACATGAAGGAAGATTTGTGAAAAACATGTTCATTTAAGCAACATCAATAGCATGCAATTAACAATTAAAGGCGGAATCATGCTTGTATGCACTTAAAACAAAACATTTACCCATGAAATTCAAAGCCTAGTAGATAGGTGAACCAAGACTCAACTCAAAACAAAGTGAGTTGAGAAATCAATACCTTTGTAGATTCCTCTTTGCATAAGCAAAGGCTAATCACCCAAAGAGAGGGCCTTCATTCCTTGCATCTTAGATCCATGGATTTGGATGGATGAAAAGGTTTCTCCAAGTTCCCAAAATTGAGAACCTCTAATGATTCATCACCAAGGCATAATGAAGAAGAAATGAGTGACCTTGGAGGAGTTTGATTGCTAGATGATCCCTCCAAGGTTGGCTGAAATTTTAGAGAGAAAGGAGAGCTTGTGTTCTCATCCTTTCCCCCAAAAATAACCCTTAGTAAATTTTAGGCTATAAAGTCCTTTATATAGTCCCTTCAAATAAGTGACCTAATGGACCAAAAACCCTATTCTTTTACACATGGCAAGCCTATAGGTTTATTGGGCTTTCAAGCCCTTTGTTTATTCAAGTTGTCATACAACTTGAGTTGATGGGCTTGACATTCAAATCCCATTGGGCCTTGCGGCCCAAAACTAACCCGAGGTCTTTAAAGAACTTATTCGTTTGATTAATTAACATATTAATTAATCCTAGCCTTAGATAAATAATTAAACCATTTAATTATTCTTACTCATCTCCGTTGTTTCTTCAAACTCTACCTTACTCGGTGAACGATCCATTAGGTTCCTTTTAGCGAGGCAGTGGGCGATTAAAACTCTTTCTAATCGATTGTGAATTGAAACTTACTTTCAATTCTCCCGTTAGTGATAATACACTTTTAGGGCTTCCACAAACCATGGTTGACGCCTAGCAGCATGTCATGGTTACCCAAGCTAATCAGAAGAGGTGGAGAACCTATTCAGTTTTAGGATTACAAATGCAATACGGTCTTTCTCTAATACAATACTCTTGACCACATTGTTTGGTTTGATAGTTTATTCATGTCTACTATCCAATGTGAATCTTGTACTTATATGATTACCTTGAATGTGACCTGGAACGCATTCTAACATCTCATTCATACTCTGGCCAGAGATTCTAAATCATATCATAGAGTATTCTCCCTCAAACAGTTTGAAGGTTAGAGATCCCTTGTTGCGCATTCACTTGCCTCCATGGCTAAGTGGCTTAACCCCGACGATGCCGTGGACACCCTGATAGAGTGACTTTGACATAATCAAAGATCAAGTACCTAACCACAAGACAGCTGTGATGCCTCAGGTCAAAGGACTACTTTGCATTATCCTAACCATGAGTTCTCATGTGACATGAATATGAGAACTCTTCGTTGATCGTGTTCAGTGAACTCATTCTCTATTGAGCACCTACGTACTTGTCTTGATGTCACACACACCAATGACTCGAGACTAGTCACTCTCCCTGAGAGAAGACATAGCACGTACTGATCTTAACGGACTGTCAATGCCCAATTGACAATCCTATGATCAGGACGTTTAGGATGTGTCAACGAAAGAATGGTCTCATGAATCTAACTTCTTTAGATCGCATTCTTCCAATCACATATTCCTTGGACTTTATCGTTTAAGCATATAACATTTATATGAGACGGCTCAAACAATAATGTTTGCCCTTAATATTAAACTAGATTAGTTTAACATGTGAAATGTCCATAAAGTATCATCATATGATTGGTTTTAGGGCACATTTCCAACACTACACAGCAGCCAAGAAACCAAGAAGCTTCCACCGCCATCTCCACCATCAGTTTTTCAGTCTATCCAAACGAACCCCTGTCCACTACCGCAGAGTAATGCCTCACCAAACGCCACCTCCAATCCCGATAAAATACCTGAGCACAGCCATAAACAGGGGATAGTCGAAAACAGAGTGATAGAAGTAAACTACCAGTATGAAGCTTGTGAAAACCAACGAGCGACACTGCCAGAACCGGCAAACAATAAAGGGCAAGTGATGGTGTTGGAAACACTCGAATTGGTGTAAGCACCAGAACTTTACACACGATTTGGTTGATGATTAGACCAAAGGATAGCTGGGAAAAGGTTTACCCTCGGGGATAGAGGAATTGGACAGACCATAGTTAAAGATTGGGAGAAAGAATAGTAGAGGCAATGTGAAAAGAGGCAAAGGGGAGAGAAGAGGACACGGCAACCGACCCCAGCCAAACCTAGAGTTCTGCTTTCATTAGATATTTAGTTTTTTATTTTTTTTATTTTTAGCTTTTTAAAATTTTAATGTCCATGTGGGGCCAGATTAACACGTGATGCCCAATCATTGTCCACGTGGGTGTCACGTTACGTGTTAATGTAGGTTATGATAGAAAGCCTAACATAAGTATGAAAATGTCCCTCAATCCTCACTTTAGGGGTGTGACACTAGGATGAAAAACATTTGATTCTTGAAAGTTTGAAAATCACGATACTACAAACTAGTAAATTTTCTACGAGTCCTATTTTTTGTAGGAATAAGATGTTTATATTTAATCATAATCTCTTGGGAAATACACCAAAATGGGACAATTTCTTAATCTTGGGACAAAAATAAGACAAATGGGCCATGTACAAACCATGCACACCATGCATAAAACTGAAATTACTAAAATACCCATATATAAAAGGGTTATGTCCTCCCATTTTCTGATTTCTCTCCCCCTTCCTCTCTCTCTCTCTTTCCTCATTTTCTCCCTCACACACTCTCTCTCCCTTTCTCACTATGCGCACATGGTGCACTGTCATCCAGACCAACACCATCCAAATCAAAGCCATCACCAATTTTTTTCCTCATCTTCACAAGTCGAAAACACCTAGCCTTGTCATGAATCTCATCCCCGATCATTGGGCAACTACGAGTTTTCTGGCCATTTTCCAGTAACACAGTAAACAATGGAGGCTCGAGACCATCACCACTGGACTCACATCGACAGTGGGAACAAAGCCTAGTCATTAAATGATGGTGTTTGTTGGATGAATTTTTCAAGATTTACTCACTGTATATACACGACATCGACATGATATGCTCACAGATCTGAACCAACCCAAAAACTTAGAAGTTAAATTAGGGTTTATGTTTCATGTTGGGGCTTATAGGTTGTGGATTAAATTTCAAGTTTTAACATGCTGCAAAATTGGGATGGAACAACTTCTGGTTCAAGTGTTCAATTGCATAAATTTGTGAAATTTTTTCCGTAATGTGCATCCGGTGTGCATATAGTGTGCATGGCTACATCTTAATATGAGAAACAAGAATGTTCACTAGTTATGATGCACGTATGTTGTGTCCCGAAATTTAGCGAGTATGAGCCTCGACGAAAGAAAAAAAATTAAGAAACATGTTAAAGGACATTAAGGATCATGCGTGTCCATGAAATAACGACAACGAGTATTATATTTTCTACATGCACGATTAAACGGTGATTGATATACATAACAAGACTTTTCAAACCGCCACTGTAACCTTATATACGTAACAATTGTATTTTAATTGTATCCACTATACCATTAGGTTGCCGTTAAAGTTTCTTATTAATACAAAAGACAGCTTGTTGCTCGATCTCCAGTTCTGTGCATATCATGTGCATGAAATGTACATATGATGTGCATGTGGTGTGCATATAGTGTATATGGTGGTGACATCACATGTGATGATGTCATTTTTTTTATTTCGAAGAGAGAGTTGTGAGATATGGGTTTTTGGGTTGGTTTAGATTTGTGAGCATATCATATGCATGTTGTGTACATACAGTGAACATATCCTGAAAATTTCATCCAACAAAACACAAATTTTTGCCAAGTTTTAGTAAACACCATCACATCTTCCAACAAGGTAGGGAATCCCATCACAACTTCATACCACTTATGGGTTTATTCTCCCTTCCCCAAATATGAAAAAAATCACTTCTTTAATCCCCCTAATCTGCAAATATTGGAAGGAAGAGAGCAAAAAACAAATGGGTTTTGTGCACAGCAGTTAATGATTGGGCTTTGTTCCCACTGTCGATGCAAGTCAGTGGTGGTGGTCTTAAGCCTTGATTGTTTGATGCGTTGTCGGAAAACTCGTGGTTGCTTGAGTTTTGATCCCAATGATTAGGGATGAGATTCGTGACAAGGTTAAGTGTTTTGGACTTGTGAGAACGAGATGAAATTGGTGGTGGCTTCGATTTGGACAGTGTTAGTCAGGAGGACTGTGCACCATGTGTGCACAGTGAGAAGGGTAGAGAGAGTGCGTGAGGGAGAAAGTGAGAGAAGAGAGGTAGGGGGAGAGAGAGTAGAGAGAGGGAAATCAGAAAATGGAAGAAAATAACCCATTTATATACGAGGGCAATTAAGTCATTTCAAGAAGTAGAAAATCCTATTTCTGTCCAATTGTTGTGCATGGCGTGTGCATGACGTGTGCATATTTTAAATGTCCTATTTTTGTCCCAAGGTTAAGAAACTGTCCTATTTCTGGGTATTTTCCTAATTTCTTTGTAGAATACGGCATATGTAACTATAGAGAATTAATAAGATTTATCAAAGTATCCAGCCATCGAATTTCTACTTCTTTTTGGGATGATGTTAGATGATTATGTTCTTGATTTATTTGTTTTTCTACCAATGGTGGCTCTTTATCCTCCCTCAAGTTTTTTCCCAAGTGGCTTACCAGGGACAGGGTTTTTCCAGAGCCACTCCTGTTTCCATGCTCACTGTATTCTACTATTTGGTCTTTTTATAAATGAAATCCCATTATTACCTTGAAAACAAAAAGGACCACATGGTGCTTGTTTCAAAATTGACGACTTATGGACTTACATTCCTAAAAACGGAAAATTTTCGATGTACAGTGAACCATATCGGATCGTCTGTGTACGGTAAAATGCACAATGATTTTATTATGATGGAGCGTCTAATTAAGATTTATCTGGGTCCAACAAAATGTCACAGAACAACGCAGACTCCTTCCCTTTCTCGTCTATCCTGCAATGTATTAACAAGTTAGTAGAGCAGTACGTATCTGATTAAGGTCGCAGTCATGTCACAGATTGAACATCAAATGAATCTCGAAAAAGATCGTTGTCGATTGAAACTGCAACGAGAAGCAGAAAAGTGGTACTGCTAGACAGCGGCTTTTATTTGACTCTGGTTAACTATCAGCACCAAAAATACAAGATAGTGAAGAAACAAGAATGTTCTATGAATTATTGTTTAATGAAATAAAATGAAAGGATATGAACGAACAAAATAAAATTGAAATAAAAAAAGACGAGGACCAAAACAGTAAAACAGCGAGAGAAGAAGAGTACGCCGGTGTTGGAGCTAGCAGTCACGAGAAAAATAGTAACAAGAAACAAATCATTTGCAGAATGAAGGATGCATATATTTTCGGGCATACCTGCATCATGAGTTCTCATCTTGGCATCCACCCCGGTCTTCCCAGAAAACGTTCATCAGTGGTTCAGTTCAAAGAACTTGGAAACTAAGAATGAAACCCGGCTGGAGGCACCAAATGTTATTTGAAGTCCTTCATAAAGTCAACAGCCAAGCCACTTCTTGGACTTGCATCATGGTCAGTAGTCTTACACTTCTCTCTTCACTAGTCTTACGCTATACTAGGATTCCGGGATTTGAATCTGACTCAACCTGCTAATCCAAATCGAATGCAGAATCATATGGAACAAATCATATCTGATTGGCCTCGGGTTCCAAAGAAAATGCTTCTGCACCATTTTCACATTAATTTGCATAGTAAGATATCTTCTCATAGGAATAGCCACTAAAATTTCTCTTAACTTGGGAATATCCTTCTCGGCCACAATAACAGAAAATGTACTCCAATCTATCACATCACTCAAGGGAGGGGGGAAATTATCTGCAATGATCACTGGGACACACTCATAGTAGATGGACTCAATGATCCTAGGGCTGTTCACTTCATATCCCATAGGGCAAATACAAAATTTGCTTGATTTCATATGCTGGATATATGACATCTTTCGCGAGACTCGAAGAGGCAGGGGCCCATAGATTTTCATGTCATCATGTTTGTCCCGCCAGTACTTGAGAAGAGTCGGGCGGACTCTTCCATGCATGTTTCCTGCAAAGAAGGCCAGAAGTGGGCGCTGGGATACTCTTAACCCACCAACATTTCTGAGAGGCTTTCTCGGGGTCCGGATAGTTGTTTCTGGCAGTGAAACATCCTTCCCAGCCACAAAGATTCCTTCAGAGGTGTCAGCATTGCATAGAGCTTTTATAGTATTTTTGGTTAGTTCTTCATGCGCAGTCAACGTGTACGGGCCCTGCAAAAGGTCAGAACAGAATGGAGGAATTTTAGTTAAATATATCCGTACGGCGTCAACTTGTATTCATTGATTGATCTTCACTAACATCGCTACTTAAAGTCGAGATATTAATTTGGATAGATATTTACTGTCAAAAGTAAACTTCAACTTAGATCAGCAAACATCTCTATCTCATGCATACCTTTTCAGCTATTCTACAAATTGGAGAAACATATACAATAAAGACTGCTAAGAACACGGATCTTTTTTTATTCTTCCTAGATAATTTAATCTGCATCAAAGCATTCTGTGGAAAGGAAGAAACAGTTACCATACCCAGTCATGGCAAGCAACAAGGAAATGATCTGACCCATGTGTGCGATTCCAAAAAGGATACTTTGAAGCAATAATGTTTGCATACTCTCTCAGGAAAACTGAGAGTGGTTTCAAATTATGTGAATTGGGAACATAAAGTGACATCGCCAGTTGCCGCATACTGTAAGGAAGATAAAATAAGTGAGCCTTTTCCGGATCCCTTGTGACAAACTGCCTGTTTTCCTCCATCAGCTTCATGAACCATCCTTCAGAAGCATAAATTCCTCTGAGATGAGGTCTGTGAAAAATGGGCCTTTCTCCATCACGGTATATGTAAACTTTAAGTATCAGTTCCATCAACTCATAACTCCTGAAATTTAACCAAAGTTCCGCCTTTATGAAGCCTGGAAAACCCAAGATTGAGTTTTCTGCCCAACATTCTGGGCAACTATTCTTAGATATCTATAAATACGAGTGAACATAGACATAGAAAGCCATGATTTTGAAACATAAAGTAAACGAGAACAATGACAATAAGTATTTTCTCGTGTTTATATTGTAGTTTTAACAAGTATTATTGCTTCTAGAGAGAGAAACAGTGTTATGGCATAGGTTCCTGATGAAGTTATGCACTTTCCTGTTATATATAATCTTGTCACCACGAAAGAATGGTTTCCAATCATGATCAAACACTGTGTAAGTTTTAGACGGAAAAAATAAAATAAAAACATGGATAAACGCTTTTAACTAATGAATCCAAAAGCCATCCAAAGTCCATGTGATTTAATTGCTCTTGCTCAATTGACCTCCTAACAAATATATTTTTCCCACATGAAAGACTAAAGGATCATCCACAATGCCTAGAGGTTTGTATGTGAAAATCTACCACACCGACTAGGCACACATATGAAAGATTAACTGGGATAATGGAGTAAGATGGTGATAAATTGTGAGATTACCTTGTGAAAACTGAAACGTTCCGAAATATAGGGGCATATAGATCAGGATCATCTTCAGTGATTGCTGGGGCATACTCAATCTCTTTCTTTGCGTACACAAGTGCCTCATTTGGTGTCAATGACCAAATGAATTTCTAAAACATGTGTTCTACAATGTTAAGATCATTGGTAAGATCTTTCTTTATCATGATTCAATGAAAAAAAAAAGGAATGAGATTACCTGCAAACGATGAGGCACCTTTGGATATGGAGGGGGAGGAGGAGGAGGTGTGACCCTTGCAATGTTATCTCCCCTGTCATTTTTTCTTCTCCTTCTAGATGGAGATTTTCTCTGCGGAGGAACTGAGAGAGCAGCTGGCTGAATTGCCACTGAAAGATTCAACTCAATAGACGGCTGTGGTGAAACAATGGGAGCACGAGGAAAGATTTGCAACCGCTTGATCCTTGCCTCGGTAGAGGTCTTGTTCAAGCACAGGCTACCGTTCAAGAGTTTATCTGATGGCATCTCAACGGGCAGAGAGAGGAACCACAAGTCCAGTGGATCAGCAAGTATAAACATTTGCAGCATGACACATACCGCTGTCATAATGGCCCCAATAAAAAATATCTTTTTCCAGCCAATTTTATGCCCGGCAAAGAGCCGGAAAAATTCTTTCATCAGGATCACAGCAAGGCTCTCAAGTAAATTTTTCATCGCATTGTACTACAAGGTTTCCACCTCATGATATCATGAGCATATTAATCTACAATTCACCTCAATGAACGGTCCAGCTTTGGAAGTTTCAGCTTTCATAACAAGGTCTGCCCAAAGTTTCAACAGGTGTTTGATAATGTGCAAGCCTGATCCCTCTGTTGAAAGGCGTAAACTCCGGAAAATGACAAAATCATCTTCCTAGTGAAGAATTATAGAGAGAGAGAGAGAGAGAGATTAGAGGAGTAATCAATATGATTTTCACCAAGAAATTGCAGTGATCAAAGACAATTTTTATGGGAAGCCAAATATAATTCTACCATAAGTCAAAACAAATATAGATATATATAGCATAGTGTTTGTCTATTTCTTTAACCACAATCATGCCTCAAACATATCCGAATTGACTAATATTTTGCAAGGATGATCTATAATGTGCAACTTAAAAATTAAGCAGTTTGGATCATTGAAGTTTGATGTGGTGTGGGTTTGTGTATTATATGTGTGTGTATGCATGCAAATTGGGTCTATTTACAAGGAAACTTCATAATACAAGTAATTCTCAAATTTATGATGCAAGCTCCTTCCTCACATGGCTTGCCAAGAAAACAATCAAATCATGCTGGTAATCTTGCTAACAATCAAAATTTAAAAGTCTGGAGAAAACCCAATACGCTGAATTCAATTTTACACACTTAAAGAGCACAAGAAATATGAGGAACATGATTGCTTAACAAAAATTAATAGGAGATTCTTTTTATACCATAAATAAATAAAGAAAATAGAAACCAAAACAATCATATCTATGTATGATACACTGTAAAATGAACTCCAACTTTTTCTTGGTGATATTAAATGAAATTCGAATTCCAGAATTAGATATAACGAAAGCAAAAGAAAAAGAGGAAAATAAATGATCGGTAAATATAACAACATATAAGTTATATGTATGTGTTAAGAAATTATACCTTGAATTGTAGGAATCGAATTCATAGAAACTGATGAATCTCAGTGTTTCTCAGAGAGAGAGAGAGAAAGATGGCGAGCCAGACGGTAACGGTTGTGCACTTTTGGTAACAAAAATAGACTCTTTGAATATTTGACTATTCAATGGATCAAGTTCAACACCTCACGCAAGCTAGTTGTATCTTTTCGCCGTGTGGCTTACGATTTTGGCTTCTACGTTGTCAACCAAATTAACTTCTATATTTTTATTTTGGGGAATTTGCACAACTAGTAGGGTTACGCGTATGCTTATTTTACTACATAAACTAATCTTTTTTTTTTTGTTGAATTACTATTTTTTTAATAGAAAATATTATCTACACTAAGATCATTTCCAACTCATAGGATAAAACTTAAAATATAAGCTTTAAAACCCCACAAACCATCTCCAACCTTTGGGCTAAAATAAGCTCTGGGCTAGATTCCCCTAGGATTTAAGCATGACTTAAATTATTCTGGATTCACCAAACTATCATATTTCAAACCTTATTTTGTTTTTACTTATAATATAACGGCTATGATCAAATCTAAAGGTTAAACAAAAAAAAAAAAAAAAAAGAAGATTTAACGGTCCAAAATTAAATCTAATGTCTAAAATAATTTAAAAAAAAATTATTTAAATCAAATTTAACTTAAAACTTTATAAATACCTTGTTGTAGGCCTATTTGATTGAACTAATCCAAGGGTTTAGAGAGAGAAGGGGTCGGCAGTATTGAGGGAGAAGAGAGAGTGATTTAATTGTGAGGTATATTTGTATCACCCCATTATGCCCTTATTTATAGTAATAGGATAGGTAAAAACCTTATCCTTTTAGGATTACAACTCTTAATAGGTAATCAACTTCTAATAGGAATATAAGAGATATTCCTAGATCCACTAGGATTTACACAATCACATTCTTATTCTAAATATGATTGCAACACTCCCCCTTGAGTGTGTAAATAATCATCAAACCATCGCATCAGATCTTCAGTAGAGAAGATAGAATAGTTGATTAAGTTATCGGCACAACGGGTGAATGTGAGACTCAAATTTAAGAAAATATGCATTTGTAGTAAAATTCACAAAACCTCGTTATGGTAAAACCCAAGGTATGGGGAAAACCCATAGACTAAGGAGAAAAGTGAGAAGTATGCATAACGTCTAAAACAAACGTCAAACGGGACAAAAGTAGTGAACTCAATGGAGTATGATCATCCCAGGATGGGTGCCTCATTAAAAGCCCGTTAGGTTGCAAAAACCCAGTGGAAAAAATGCTCATAATCGTAAGAAAAATGGTACATTAAGATCAAGTGAGTATGCTTCCAGATACTCCCCCTGAGTAAGACATAACTTCTAAATAAAAGAACAACAAGCGATTCAACTCAAATAATTTACGCGTACTGATTCCTTGAACGAGCTTATGAAAAATAGACTTTGGCAATGATTAGGTGAAGAGATCGGCCAGGTTATTATGGGAACGGATTTGCTTGACTTCAATGTTCTGATTCTGTTGCTGCTAGTCTAAGTGAAAGAACTTCGGTGCCATATGCTTGATGTTGTCTCCCTTGATGTATCATTTTCTTTAACTGCTCGATATATGCTGCATTGTCTTTAAAGATCATTGTAGGAAGGTCAACGACAAAAGTAAAACCACTAGTGCTTCGAATATGTTCCATAATTGCTCTTAGCCAAAAGCACTCATGCAATGCTTCATTCAGGGCGAGAATCTCAGCGTGGTTCAAAAAAGTCGCAGCTAGCATTTGCTTGGTAGACCTCCAAGATATAGCGGTGTCTCTAATGGTAAAGACATAACCCGTTTGAGAACAAGCCCTCTGTAGGTCAGACAGATATCCAGCATCTGCGTAACCAACAAAGCGAGAATCAACCTGAGAACTGAGGGGGCGGCGTGTCCTCTCGAAGATTCGTAGGTATAAAACAAGCTCAAATCTATTGTACCCTTGAGGTAGCGGAAAATGTTTTTAACACCATTCCAGTGCCTGCGTGTGGGCGCATTGCTGTACCAAGCCAAAATATTAACAACGAATGAGATGTCGGGTCTAATGCATTGAGCCAAGTACAATAAAGCCCTTATTGCACTGTAATATCCCTCGTTTAATTAAGAGTGAAGTGTGATTATAATTGTTTTTAAACAAAATTTTAGTCTACTTAATTTTTATTTGTTTAATAGCTTTTAATACTATACTTTTTATTTATTAGATATCTTATTATTGTTATTATTATAATTGTCTTAGGGTACAAATAAGGGTTTATTTTTTTTGGTATAGCAATGAAGTAGTATTTAATATATATATACACACACACACACACACAAAAGAAAGGAAAAGAATGTTCTTTCACGTTCTTCCTTTCTGTGCAATGGAAACAAGAAAGCATGGAGGAGGTGGCTCTTCCATAGCTTTAGGTAGAAAAAAATCTTCTTTCTTCATACTCAAATAGGATAGAGGTTAGGAAGTCTTGTGATAGGTTGAGATTTGATTGATCAAAGAGTGTGTTATAGAGAGTTGCTCATCTCCTATTGCACTAAGGAATGTGTTCGGCAGAGGATGAACTGAGAAGAGACACGGAGGTCTATAAGTAGGAGGTGGATGGCCTAGGAAGCTAGGTTTTCATCATGGCTCTGATAGGATTGAGTACGATTAGAGAAACTATAAAAGGGGTTGCAGAGAAGTGGGAAAACATCATAAATAGAAAAGGCGGTAGAGAAATTGAGAGATAGAGAACGTGATTTTGAAGGAAGGATCTAGAGATTTGAAGGGTAAATTTCTTGTTCCTTGATTATTTAGGTTTTTCGAATTTAATTTCTTTCGTTGAATTGAAATTGCGATGAGATTTATTTGGAGTTCTTAGTTTTATTTAGGGTTCTCTACTGTTCAGCTAACCAATCTGAACTTGAATTAGAGTTGGGTAATTCGGATTGGGTGTGTAGATCAAATTTCTTGATCAAGGGTTTGGTTCAAAAGGTTAATTTCTTGTTAATTTTGAATCATGTTATATTTGGGTTTTGTATACATGATTTTTGGACTACCTGGAAGTATTTCGGGTTTTGTTATATGAACTGGAAGTGTAATGTTATGTAAGATGCAGAAAATTGATTTCTGTGCAGAGAAAACTCAAGTTTCGAGTAGCCTTATTTTGCTCTTAATGTATAGGTCTTTGTGTGCTCCTTTAGAGAAAACATTTAGTGTGTTGAAAATGCATATGTCCATGATCATAACCCAATTGTTTTCACTCTGTTCTGTTGAGTTTTGGTTGATCAAAACCTTATTTAAATTTGGGTCGCGAGTTGCCAAACAGCAGCAGAAAATTGGGTTTCCAGTTTTAAGACTCCAATTTTCTTTTGGCATAACTTCCAATTTAGAGCTCCGTTTTCTACAAACTTTATATTCTTTTAAAGAACAAAACACAAACTTCAAAACCCATTCAATATTATACGATTTGGTTTAGTTTTGAATGTTCAAAAAGGAGTCTAAACTTGGTTCAATAGTGCTGTTTTTCCGCAAATCTTGTGGAGATGCAAAGCACTATTTTTACCACACCTAATTTCATTTCCAGATTCCTTTCTAGTCTTCTTTAGTTTATTTGAGTAGCATTATTTGAGTTATAAGATTCCAGAATTTATATACTTTCCATAGATAATATCAATTTTGTGATTGAACACTTAGCTTAGTTTCTAATATGTGTTACTTGTGATTATACTTTTGGTTGTATTTTTGAGTTCCGAATAGGTTCTTTAGAGGAACAAAATTAATCAAATTCAAGGTAGGGGGTTATGGGAAACCTTCTATATGTATTAATTTAATTATTTCTTACTTAAGTATACATACAAGTTTGATATACATATTGAATTCAAATTGAATATGAATACTGTTTCTGATGGTTATTTGAGTATATATGTTCGACATGAAATTTAGATCCATGATGTGGAAGTAAAGTGGGATTGCCAGAAAGAACTTCGGAAATTTAAGGTGGTGACTATTAGTTTTTGTATAGTTGAGCCAAACTCTTAGTAGGTACCAGGTCTCAGGCGAGCCCACAGTGCACAGATTCTTCAAGGATAATTCGGGACTGGAGACGAAGAGTTTAGGCAAGATGACTAACAAAAAAGGGAGTTTGGGGATGTTTAGGGATGGGGGATAGTTCATATATTTAAACACTTGGGATCAAGTGGTATAAGTACGGAATGGGACGTATAAGTTCTGGGTGTTTAGTTATGTGGATTAACGGGTATAGTTAAGGCATTTGCATTCCATTCTTACGCATCATTCTGATCATGGTTTTAATTCTGCTATGTTAATTATACTTTATTATTTTAGTAAGGAAGGTATATGTCCCTACTGAGCTTTTTAAGCTCACCCTAACGAAATTTTGCAGGTACAGAACTAGAAACCTAAAGGTCTGCTTGCTGTCTATTGTGTAACTATGTATAAAGAAATAAAAAGATGAGCTTGTTGGTTTTTGCTCTTTTGTTTGAATAAAGAATTACTTTTGTGTGAACTCTAAGTAGTTCATAGGTTGTAATTTTGGCTGAAACTTCAATAATATGTTGTTCAGTTAAATTTGAATTTTATTCCAAGCGAGTTATACATGCTTTTATTTCAAGTCACATTCTTAATTATATTAGTTAAGATTATAATTAAGGTGTGATTCACGTTTTGAACCAAGGTTTACGTTGATCCTTGGCTTAGGGCGTGACAATTTGGTATCAGAGTTCTAGGTTTTGTTTAACCGTATGTGTTTATTTGTTATTTGATTACTAACTTTATATGATGATGCTTAGATGCATCCTGCAAATGGAAATGATGCATGGGGCAGATTTAAGCTGGGACCTAACGGTTTAGAGCCTTATAATGAAGACCTGTACCATACCCACCTTCGTAATGAAGCCTTTATGGAGTTGGTGTATGATGTATACGAAAGCAACCGTAGAAAAATGTTTTATAGGCCAGAGATATAACATGAAGTAGTTAGGCATATAAAGAAGTCACTGAACATCAAGACTCAATATCGTATCCAGATAGAGTCCAGTGAAAATCTTCATGGTGATGTGATGAACCATGTGACAGCTTTAGGTGGAAATATATGGCCTCCGCTAGGTGT